CCCCGCCGAGAGGGAGCTCCCCAAGTGGACGAGAGGCATCCGCCAGTCGTCGACCTGCGCATGGGAGACGCTCGCCCGGCTCCGGTCGTCCTGTCTGGCCGCCTGCCCTGGGCGGGGGAAAGGGAAAGACATGCTCGCGGCCGCCTCCTCTTGCCTGGCCCCTGGCCCCTGGCCTTCCTCCATCCGATGACTCCTACTGCTGGGGGCTCCATTTGACGGTCGAGACACAGTCTCCCGGGGCTCCCCTTGCTCCCCTCCCACACGCACACGCACACACACACACACACAGTAGAACTCCAATATATAGACAATCCGCGCGCGTGCGTCTCCTTTGTCGGTCTAGCGAGCGCATGGCGGATCACGTGCCGACACGTGCCCGGCCGCGGCTACAAGCGATCCCGGCCCAGCCGTCTGGAGATCCGTCCAGCGGGAAAGCATCCGCCGCGCCCCCTCCCTCGCCTCCCTCCCTCCCCGCCCGGGATATCTCCCTTTTCCTTTGCTCTCTCTTTGGCCCTCTTGTCGTCCGCCCACCCGCCAGCCTGCCCCTGCGCCCCGGATCCGGCTCCCTCCTTCTCTCCGTCCTTTCGTGCCCCCCCCCCCCCCCGGCATTTCGCCACACCTCTGCTCTCGCGCGCATCATGAGTGGCAGCTCCCTTGCTGGGCGGTTGCTCGGCGTGGGCGGTCGTCTGCTCCGGCCATCGGCGCTGGGGGTGCCCCCGATGCGGGGGCTGTCGCCGCCGGCGCTACGCACTGGCCCGCTCGGCGCACAGGGGCCCCAGCCAGGGCCGTCACCGTGGCACCTCTCCCGGGGGATGTCCTCCTCCTCCTCCTCCTCCTCCTCCCCCACGTCGACCCCGGGCAAGCCGCCTAGATCGCCGGCTTCCACCGGGGGGGAGTCGGCGCCAGCCGCCACGACAGCTGTGCCACCTGCACCCGTTGCAGCATCCGCGCCGGTGACTCCAGCGGCTCCCGCGGCTTCTGTCCCCGGGGCACCGCCCGGGGGTCCGGCAGCCCCGGCAGTCCCGGCCGCACCTGCGCCTTCACATGTGCCAGGCGCCCAAACCACCCAAGCCCCGGTTGCAGCTGCACCCAAAGCACCAGGGGCTCGTGCTGAGGATGTCGCGAAGGGCGCCCCTTCGGCTTTGGCAAAGGCGCCGGCTCCGGGCCCGGGTTCGGCACCGACGCCGGGCGAAGCGCCAAAGGCCGCCCCCACGCCGGAGGTCCCCTCGCCTGCGGGCCCCGAGGGGGGGTCCCCCGGCCGTGTGGCTGACCCGAAGCAAAGCACCCTCGGCATCTCGGGCTCGGGCAGCCAGCCGCAGGTTTCTCTGCCGCCTTCGCTCGGGGAGATGGCGGCCGTGTCGATCGAGCGTGCCAGCAAGAAGCAACCCTCGATAGCGGCCGGTGCGCCAGCCGGCCCGGCCCCCAAGCCGGCTGATGCCCCATCGACGGCCAGCGCGCCCCCGACACAGCCAAGCCCCACGGTGGTGGCCCAGTCACTGCCGCAGCACATGCGCCCTCCCCTGTTGGGCTACATGCCCCCTCCGGGGGCTCCGCGCATGCCGATGGCCGCGGCGACCTTCACCCCGGGCCATGGGCATCCCTCGGGCCCGGGCGGCGGGCCGCCGGCCGGCGCCATGCACCCCGGCATCGGGACCTATCAGCCGCCCTTCGGCCTGCCTCCCTATTCATACACGGCCACCGGGACATTTGGCGGGCCGGCGGCGGCGGCGGCGGCCATGCACGACCCGGGGCCGCGCGATCCGGCCGCGCCCCATCATCAGCACCACCAGCAGCACCAGCCTCCGGTGGGTGCCGGCGACGCGGGGTTCCCCCCGGCGTCGGCCATCGCCGACCCGGTGTCGCATCACCTCTTCCGCGAGTCGCTCATGGCGGCCCCCTTTTCCCTGGACACTGTGAAGATTGTCCAATCGCTGGAGGATGCCGGTCTGACCAAAGCCCAGGCCGAGTCGGTCATGCGTCTGCTGCAGGACACCATGATGGAGAGGTGCGTTGTCTCCTGCATGTGCCCTGCCGAGTGCGCCCGGGCCCATGCTGCCCGGGCAGCATGCATCTACACACACACACACACCCCCTGGACATGGGCATGCCCATCCGCTGGGCAAGTAGCCTGGCACGTGGGGCCGGTTGCATGAAAAGTGTCCATGTGCCCGCCGAGGCTACCTACTCACACGATCGCTGCACTTCTCGCTGCCCCGCCCCCCCCCCCCTCCACTTGCCGACCGCCCTCCTCGCCTGGCCGCGCCATGGCGCACAAAGCATCCGGTCGCTCGAGTCGCGCCTGGTGTCGCGCGTGCAGCACATCCAGCACGCGCAGGCCGCGCGGGCCGAGCTGTCAGACATGCATGCGGACCTGCTGAACGTCGCGTCGACCACCGATGCCGAGGTCCGGTCCGAGGTGGAGAAGCTGCAGAATGAGATCGACCGGTCGCGGGGGTTCATCCGCGACGAGCTGGGGCGCCTGCACAATGTGGTCAGCCTCAGCCTGACCACTGACCATGACCGCTTTGCCAATGAGCTGAATGTCAACAGCCGCCGGGTCAAGGAGCTGGACAACCGCATCGACGTGGAGCTGGCCAACCTCCACCGGCAGATGGAGAGTACCAAGTTCGATCTGATCAAGATCATCTTCGGTTCGCTGTTCAGTCTCATCATGCTGGCTTTCGGCTACTGGCGCATGGCGGTCCTGATGAAGGGCGGCAAGAAGTCCGGTGGTGGGGGCACCACGCAGATCGTGATGCCGCCGCCGTCGACCCCGCCGCCGGCTGCGGGCTCGTCCGCGGCGACGGCCCTCCTCCCGGGCGGCCCGGACAGCGGCGTCGCCCTTGCCTGAGTGTGTGGCCCCTGGCCGAATACAAATTGCCCCTGTACCTATGCATGTGTGTGTGTGTGTGTGTATGTGTGCCCGTGCTGGGGGATAGCATTTTCTGGGCATCTACAGATGTGTGCACATGCAAACACGCATACCCAGCCATGCGCGCATGTCTGTGGTGCATGCATTGGTGTGCCCACATGCAGGCCTGTGGGGCCGTCCCCGCCCGGGACCGACCAGGGCAGCCGGATGGTCCTCATGTAGGCGGATTCCCCGGGCTGGGTGAGGGCGGGCAGGCAAAGGAAGGGGGCGGGGGCGGCAGCATGCCCGAGCGAGGGGGGGGGGGGGGGGGGGGGGGGCAGGGTCGGGTGGCAGCCGGATCCGGGCGCAACACATGCTTCGCCCGCAAGGGGGGCGCGGGCGCGGGCGCGGGCGCGGGCGCGGGCGGCCCCCCGACCGTCGACGGTCACACCGGCTCCGGCCGGTCCGCTGGCGCACCCGCTCAGGCGCATGCAAACACACAAACACACACACACACACACACACACACACACACACACACACACACACACACACATGCATTTGCATACACGGGCCGTCTCACACTATGGCTTGCCCCGCCTGGGCGGCCAATTCTCGGCCGGTGCCCGCGGTCTAGGGGGGCCCCCCGGCTGGCGCCATCTTGCCGTGACGGCCCTCGCGACCTGGTCGCTGTGCGGACCATTTTTCGCTCCCCGCTCTGTGCCAGCCCCGTCGCCAGCCGGAGCACCACCCTCTTTCCATCCTCCCCCCTCCCTCCCCCCCCCTTCCCTCCCTCTCGCTCGCTCGCTCGCTCGCACCACCGCCACCACCACCACCACCACCACCGCCATGTCCTGTCCCTTCGCAAACTCCAACGTCACCCAGCTGCAGTCCTACCTGGCGGCCTCGGCCATCAGCCAGGAGGAGCCCGCCGCGCAGACGTACGCCTTCGATGGCGACGCCAATATCGACTCCGCCGCCACCACGGTGGTTTCCTTCGGCGAGACCATGGTCAGCGAGCCGGTGGTCATGGACCCGGCCACCGCGGCCGCGGCCGACCAGCACAAGGTCGTCTACTACTCGGACTACCTGCGGGTGCCGGAGCTCCTGGATCTGGTGCACCCGGAGTCGCGGACGCGCGTGCGGCCGGGGCTCGACCCGGCCGGCGGCCCGGTCGAGGCGCACGACGAGCACCTCTTCATCGTGGTGCACCAGGCGCACGAGCTCTGGTTCAAGCAGGCCCTGCACGATCTGCGCAGTGCCATTGACATCATCGGCGCGCCGACCACCAGCGCCGCCGGGCTGACCCTGGCCACCCGGCGCATCAACCGCTGCCGCGGCATCATGGACCTCTGCATCACCAAGCTCAACATCCTCAAGTCCATGGACCCGCTGGAGTTTTTGGAGTTCCGGTGCGTCTGTCCTGCGCATGGCCACTCGCACCCATGCATGGGTGTCTCCTGCGCCGATCCCCTTCGTGCGCGTGGGAGAAAGAGCGCGCGCCCTTGACTTCCCCAACCTTCCGATACATTCCGCCTGCCCCTTCATGCGAACACACGCACCCACTCACACGCACTCACTCACACGCACACGCACACGCACACGCACACGCACACGCACACGCACACGCACACGCACACGCACAGCGACCTGCTCATGCCGGCCTCCGGCTTCCAGTCGGCGCAGTTCCGCATTCTGGAGAACCTCACCGGGCTCAACCCTCTTGACCGGCTGGACTACCAGCGCGAGTCCTACCTGCACTACTTCTCCGATGACGACCGCAAGCGCATCATCCAGTCCGAGCAGGACCTCAACCTGTTCCAGGCCCTGAACAAGTGGCTGGAGCGCTGCCCCGCCCTTGGGCCCGATGGCGACCAGGCCGCCTCCCAAACCGACACCCTGTGGAACTCCTACGAGCAGAGTGTCCACTCGATGCTGACCCAGCAGCGCAAGACCATCCTGGACGTGCGTTGGCTGCCCCGCGGTCGCCGGCCCGGGCGCGCCCCTCCCCCGCGACAGCTCACGCCTCCGGGCCCCTCGCTGACCCGCTCGCTGACCCGCTCGCTGCTTTTGCCGCCCGGTGCATCCCCCGCCCCGGGCCTTCCCCCCTCGCCTTGCCCCCTCGCCCTCCCGGGACCCCGCGGTTGCCTCCCCCACCCCCTCCGGGCCGCCTGGCACAGGACAAGAAAATCTCCGACGAGCACCGCGAGCACCTGCTCACCAGCCTCAAGGCCAGCGAGGATTACTTCAAGATGCTGATCGATGCGGATGAGTATGCCTCGGTGTCGGCTCGCAGCGATGCCACCGGTCTCCCGGCCACCCCCATTTACACCATGACCCACCGGGCCCTGAAGGCCGCGGTGCTGGTCAAGATGTTCTACCCCCGGGTGGACCAGCTGAGCGCGCCGCACCAGCTGCTCAATGCCATCGTCGAGCTGGACATGTCCATCACCCGATGGCGCTTCTCCCACTCGCAGATGGTGCAGATGATGATCGGCAGCCGCCCGGGCACCGGCGGCAGCTCCGGCTACCAGTACCTCCGGTCGACCCTGAACGAGCGCTACGCCACCTTCAAGGACCTGGTCCGGATTCCGACCTTCATGCTCACCCCGGACTGGGCCCCCTCCAATGTGGCCTCCGTCGCCGGGCTGACCAACTTCGCCGGCTGGGCTTGAATGCCGGCTTCGCCACTTTGCTTGCCCTCCTTCTGCCCCCTCCTCCCCCCCCCCCCTCTATTCGCTCTCTTCGCTCCCCCTGTCCTTCCATGTATCAGGATGCCCGACGAGGCCAAATGGCTGCGCAATGCTACCTTCTGCGCCCCCTTTCCCCTCCGGGCGTCTCTTCGCCCGGTGCCTGTGCCTCCCGCCTGTGTGGCCCCCATCCTGGCGTGCTTCCCCTGCCTCGGCAGGGGGGCAGGCGGGATTGCCCCAGCGCCTTTGCCCTTGCAGTGCCTCTGAGGCGTGTCAAAAAAATATACAACCTTGCTTCGCCGCGCCCGGTGCCCCGGCAAGGAGATGGGCAGCGGCACCGTCGTGCGACGGGGAGCGGGGGGGGG